GATGCGCCTCCCCCGGGTCCGCGGTCGCCGGGGCCATGCCGGGGAAAGAGGCCCGCGCACCGCTGCCGCCGGTGTGTGACGCCTGCTTGTGTGTATGGGCCAACCGCATGAAAGAGCGAAAACCCCCGGGGGAGGGAGTACGGCAGGGAGGCAGCGTCAAGGCGGCAGGGAGGGAGGGCGGGTGTGGGGGAGGACGCCAGGGCAGGGAGGGAAAGAGGGAGGGGGGGAGGACGCCAGGAAGGGAGGGATAGCGGGTAGTAAACTGTACGTGTGTGTGTATTTGTGTATGTATGTGTGTTGCGCTGCTGGCATTCACTCACCCCAATGCCTCCGTACGGCAACCGCCGGCCGCCAAACCGCGAAGATGGTGCGGGAAGCAGGCTAGAAGAGCCCAGACCCGTCAGCCGTACGGCCGCCTCGTCCATCGCATAAATATGCGAGTACAAAACGTCCATTGCCGTGAATAGGGCCCACGTGCAGGTGCGGAACGCGGACCGACTGGGCCTGTGTACGGCATAAATGTATACAAAACCACATGAGCCCCGGAACTGAATTTAGCGCACCATCAGGGCCTGATGCCGTACACACCACTTACCAAGTCGCGCGCACGGCACGGGCATCCCCGCATTACAAATACATTCAACACACACACACACACACACGCCACTGACTCACCCCCGCCCTTTCCCCGGGGGACCCCCCAACCACTTAAAACACTCTCGCACACGCCCCAAGAGCTACATGTCCACGCATGTACACACACACACACGCACTTACAGCCACATGCACTTACAGACATACAGACTTACGTCGACAGGTAGGCCACTACCCCGCACGCCGGACCCAGGTACAGCGCATGTCCAGTCAGCACCACCAGGAATACGAACAAGACCGCGGCGGGCAGCAGAGGTATCCCCAGCATCCATAGCGGCATCCACAGGCACAGCAGCTTGGGAGGGCACTTGGACAGCAACGCCATCCACTCGCCGAGAGCCCTGAGAGCCGACGACGACGACGGCAACCCGCCCGTTGCAGCAGCAGGAGCAGTAGGCGCAGTAGCAGCAGCAATGGCAGCAATGGCAGCAGCAGCACCCCCCGCACCCACTACTACCTCACTACTACCACGAGCCTCTCACCCACAATCGTGTCTGCTATCGATCACTGCAACCACCCACTCACCCACTCACCCACTCCCTCGCGAAATTCTTCCCATGCACCCACTCACCCTCTCATTGTACAAACTCTCCCCCCCAAAAGGAAACACTCCCCTACACTCACCTCCCACCATCCCCCCCCACCCCCCCCACCCCACCACACACCCACCTCGCAATGATGAAAGGCAACCTCAGGACGCCCAGTATCGCCACAGAAACCAAACTGAGCAGGCTGCAAAGCAACGACAAGACCACAGAGATGAGCAGCCGTGCAATGGAAACGTCAAGCGGCTCGCCGTAGTACGGACGTCGAAGCTCGTCCAAGTACGAAAAGTACAGCATATTGTTAAACTTCCAAACCTCCACGGCACACGCCTGTGTCAACAAAGGGGTGAGGGGGATGGAAGGGAGATATTGGAGTGGACCCAACGACCCGAACGCGATGAGCGCAAGGGGTTGGGGGCGGGGAACCAATCTGGACAACCGACAACGGAATGTGGCTGACGAGGGCGGACGGAGAAGCAAGCACACACATACACACACACACCCAGACCCGCCTAGCCCCCCACGCCCTGAAGTACCTCCTACACTACCCGCTACAGAGCCTATCCCCATGCCCCCAACCCCAACCCTAAGCCCCCAACACTGCCCGGCCCCCTGTCAACGGTCTCCTTGCTCCCCTGGTCCCATGCCCACCCCCCCTTGCCCCAATCCCCCGCCTCACTCCCCGGCCCGACCCCGTGGGCAGCCGACACATACATACATACATACATACATACATACATACATACATACATACATACATACATACATACATACATACATACATACATACATACATACATACATACATACATACATACACACCGGGATACACACACGCGCAAACCCTGATAATTCCCGCTCACCACCGGAGGCAACACAACACCTGAAATACATACATACATACATACATACGCACCTTGGCAAGATCCAGCGGCTCCACCACCGCTGTGGTGACCAGCTTGGCCCCCTCCAGCAAGCTGCCCAGGGCAACAGTGGCCCATAGCGGCCAGAAGAACCCCACGCCGGCGCTGAACATGATGCTGCCGGCGGCAGTAGCTAGTGGCCAGCCC